TATTGATTGCACAAGAGGAACTAGTTTGCCTGCCTCAGTGTGTCTGAGTGCTGACAGTGATACTGAAAGCGTGAATGAGTGGCATGCCTGGATCATGTGATGGCGCCGTGGCTCTCGGTAATCCCGGAGCGTTCCATTCGGAGCTGGTCACTGTGGCAGAGGTCATGAGAGGTTAAAGCTTCTTAGAAAAAATGCGTCATAAATAAGGATAAACCTGCATAATATACGAGAATAGGGGAAAGTCAAATTTTTAGCTTTTTGATACTGATATTTCTTTTAGGTAAGTAGTTTACAGAAGTTTTGAGTTTATAGGTGTAATTTCCCAAACTGCATGTATTTCATGACATAAATCTATACAATGGTTATAACCAGGTTTAAGATTCTTGGTTCATTCTGTTGACATATTGTACAATAAAAAAAAAATAAAGTGAAGAAATAAAGTAAAAAAAATGAAATTAATGTTTGGGTTTGTTGAATAAGCAGATGGTCGGAAGTTGTTGAGTCTGGCCTTTTCAAGTCAGAGTTCAAATTGCTGAGTTCTAAAAATGGGTCAAGGTCACATCTCCCAGTCCAAGTCTGAGTCATTACAGTAAGGTCAGAGTTTTTTATTGTTATTACTTTACAAGCCAGACTGGAAGGTAGTAGGCCTGTCATGATAACACATTTTAACACTATATAATGCTATACAGAATACAGAAAGAAATCCAATAAATTATCATATTTAGACTACTTTGTACCACTGACGCAATAACCCGAAAGCAGGATAATCCCAGTTAGCTTTTTACAAAGTGAACATTGTAAAAAAAGTAGCCAGCAATACATAAATAGCTCAATTTAACACTATAGAAGTTAGTTCTAATATGTATAATGTGTTGTAGATGTTAATTATTTGACAAACTAATGCCTGCTAATGCAAAGAAAAGGGACACATGATATCTTTTGATCTTGAAAAGGTGTTGTTCTTTCTATCAGAGCTTGTATGATAAGTCGATTTAGTACGGGTATTTATTTTGACAGGTTTATTAGGTAGTATAATAATTTGAGCACTGTAACTATTAAAGGGACAGTTTGGAATTTTGGACATAAGGCCTCATTTCCTAGTTAGCCAGAGTGTTGGAGACGTGTGGAGACACTTTTAAAAAATATTCCATCCAGTGCTTGTATTTGCAGAGGTCGCTGGTGCTAGGCTAGTGCATGTCAATGGCCATAGTTAGCCTGCCACTACCCTTACCCACTCCACAAAGCACTAGAGATGCGCGAATTGCGGTTACAACCGCGGTATCCGCGGTTAATCCGCGGGTCGGGCGAATGACGTGACGAAAATTTATATTTTAAATTCAGGCGAGTGGCGGTTTAACTACTTAATAAATAAAAAAAAAATAAAAAAAGTTATTGTTAGTATTGTTACCTACATCTGAAAAGACGAGTCTCATTGTCTATGCTTGTAGTATGAAGTGTACGTCATGTCCTTAATTAGCCTATTTGACCTCGTTTTTATGTTCTGAAGGTTAAGGTTGTGTCGGGTTGTTGATGCCTAAGGTTTACGAGGCACATATTATATACAGTTTATTTTATTATTTCTAATTTATTTCAGCTGTTTGCCAACACGTAAGTGGCTATAGGGCCATATTTATTTAGTTATGCTTTTTTTTTGTTTTTTGTTTCGATATCAGATATATTTTAAAACACGCAGACATTATAGCGTACACTGCCACTCGGGGTATTTAAAACTTAAAGAAAGACCGATGGAGTGAGGCTATGACTTTGAAATAACATCGGGCAATGACAGAATGTACAGAATGTAACAACATCCAACACGAAGGCAAGAAGGTTCAAAAATAGCCTAGTCGGAAAACGTCAATTAATTAGCTGCGCAAGAAAACCAGGTAAGTTTGGGGTTGTTATGGACAATTAAGAATGTGAACATACACGCTGAGCGAATTTTGGAATAATGAGCTAAAGAGTTTGCATTTTTATCGAGGCTCCTTAGTTTGTTTGCTGTATGATTGTTCTAAAATCTAAAATCAATCGGCGGATGGCGGGCGGGTGCGGTTTTGAAAACCTTCGGTGCAAAATGGACAGCGGGCGGATGATGAGTTTTGTGTTGCGGTTGCGGATGAAAAAATAGCCCATCCGCGCATCTCTACAAAACACCCAAAGCAAAACTATTATTACGCTAGACCAGAGGTCGGCAACCCGCGGCTCCGGAGCCGCATGCGGCTCTTTAGCACTCCCCTAGTGGCTCCTTGGAGCTTTTTCAAAAATGAGTGAAAATGGAAAAGGAATGATTTTTTTGTTGTTGTTGTTTTAATCTGGTTTCTTTAGGGGTAAAACCCTCGTTCATCTCTGCTCATGGATCTGATCCATCAGCTGTGTGTGCAAATGCAAAGACATTAAAAGTGTTTCAGCAGAACAAACTGAAGCGGGGGTGGTGTCCGGTGCCTCCACCTGAGAAGCGCTTTCCTCAAAAAAAAAAAAAAAAAAAAAAAAACAAAAAAAACACGTGCGCAGACGGACCGCTCAAAACACCATACAACAAACCAAACGGGATTCACGCTTCTGTCCGGATGCTGCACCACCTCGGAACCAGCCGCGGTCGAGCGCGGAGGACCGGAGCAGCCCGGACCTGTGGTCCACAGCGCATTCTGGCTTTTCCCGCACAGAACCAGCGCACAGAGGACGACACGGAACCGCTCGAACCCAGTTCTTTGCACGCTGGTCTTGCTCGAAGCCTCCAGACAATCTGACCAACACTGGACCCCCAGCCCCGTCTTGAGGAGCTGCGCGCTGACTGCTCCCGTGTGTTTTGCGCTGCTGCCCGAGCTCAGAGCTTCTGCTCCAGGCTGATGTTGCGTACAAAGTTCTACATGCTGCTGGTTTATGAGTGCTCCTGTGCACGATCAGAAAAAATACGACTGCTGCTCTGAATATTTCCATCATCGTCGTCAAAGCAACAGGTAAACGTCGGTCGCACTTTCAGCGCGTCAGCTCCTAAAACTCCGTTTATCTCAGTTTACACGCAAACGTGAAACCGGAGTTTTTTTAGAAAGATTCGTTTTTCAGAGGCGAATTCACCGTTTGCGTGTAAACGATGTGAACAAATGAAGGAAAATGTCTCTGTTTTTAAAAATACCGTATACGTGTAAACGGGGCCTAAATGACAAAGGAATAAACACTAACCACTTGATTTCAGTGGCTACAGACGGCGCACCGAGTATGAGAGGGTCGCAAAAGGGGTTTGTGTAATCATGATGCTCATTTTGTATTTGTAGCCTACTTAGTCATTTTAATAGTCGGCTTATATAGCTAATATACTGACAGCTTATGTTGCCTTCATATTAGGCTTATATAAGGCTTTTAATTTTTTGCGGCTCCAGGCAGGTTTGGTTTTTGTTTTTTTGGGCCAATATGGCTCTTTGAACATTATGGGTTGCCGACCCCTGCGCTAGACTGTCGATGTGAATGTCTGTGTTGATAGAATAATATTTGAAATAAAACTAACCTTGCATCGCATGAATCGTCGCATGTTGAGGAACTATTTTCTCACATATCAGTCTGCCGCTGCCAAGCTTTCTATCAGGAAGTATAACTCACTGTTGCTGCTCAGACATAAATCCTTCAATTGCAAGTTTGGTTTTACTTCTAAAATTATTCTATCAACACAGACATTCACATCGACAGTTTGGTGTTATAATAGATGTGCTTTGGGTGTTTTGTGGAGTGAGTAAGACTGTTTTTAGTGGCAGGACTAACTATGGCCATTGACATGCGCTAGCCTAGCACCAGCGACCTCTGCAAATACAAGGATTGGATGGAATATTTAAAAAAGTGCCTCTACACGTTTCCAACACTCTGGCTAACTAAGAAATGAGGTCCTATGTTCAAAATTCCAGACTGTCCCTTTAACTTGTCAAGTCCGATTGAAAGTCCAAGTCCATGGTCCATTAGTTCGTGCCATCTGATAGGACTGTAACTAATGATCCTTTTAGTAGTCAGCTATAGTCAGCAAAGTGTATTAATGCTGAAAATTTGAAACAGTGTATTATTTTTTTATATTTGATTTTGTAATGCAACTGTCTTTTCAAATTGTCCAAATAGCTACTAAGATTATCGAAATGCTAGATTATTATTATAATGATTCTATTTTTAGTCAGTTAATTGTTATGGCCCTACACGTTCAAAAACAGCTGTCATGTCAAAATCAAACTCTTATAAACTCCAGAACATAAACTCCAGAACGCACTTGCTTACTGACTAATACTCAGTCATTTGTGAGTGAGTGCCTCATTTTGAGCTGGGATTTTTCCACTGTGTCACTTCTGTTGATGTGACCAAATTAAAATCCATTTCCCTCTGTACCTGTTATTGCTTTACACCTGCATGCTGAAGATAAGCTGTGAACTTCTCTAATCAAACCAAACTATGTCCAGATGTTTACCCTGCCTCATTACCATCCTCCTGCAGAGAATGTGTGTAATTGTAACTGTAAATAACATTTAGCAAGTTAACAGTGCAAGTAATTATGGTTCACTCTGCCTGGATAACATAAGCATGGGGATATTGTATTGCTTGTATTGAAAGGTCAAAAATCATTAAAACGCATATCATATTTCACCTTTTGTACCTGATTGTTAGCATCTTAAAATGTGGAAAATCAGCACTATTTAATTTTAAATTATTTGCAGTCATTCTAAATTTATCCTCATTTACTTCATTCATTCCGACCATCCTAATGATTCACCGGGATGAGTTTATAAGCACTTTTCACAACTTTCATAGGAGAGTTTAACCATCAGGCTAATGCTAACAACAACCAGCATGCTAATGGCTCACACCCTGAGTCTTTGATTGACTTTATAATCAGATGCAGACAGGACACTGTGGACTTATTTTGACCTCAAGAGCTGATAATGGGGCAAGCAAATTTTTTTCTCAAATACATGAAATATGCAAAACTGAAACAGAAATTTTACAGTTTGTTTGTTTGTTCTTCTCCACAGTGGAGTCTGGTGTGCGACTCTGCCTGGAAAGTCCACATCGCAAAGTTCTCTCTTCTGGTGGGGTCCATCTTCGGATACCTGGTGTTTGGGATCCTAGCTGACTGGTAAGATTTTTGTTCAGGTTCAAAGTAATATATTTATTTTTATGTGTTTAATTTGGGCAACTTGGTCAGAAAAAATTATAATTAATAAAAAATCATATAATCAAGATATCGTAAATGAGTAGGCAGAAGATAAAACCTCTCTTACATAACTGACAAAAAATGATAGCTGTTTACATTTTTGTAACCATATATTATTATTATCTTCAAATTGTGTTTAGAGGAGAACTCTCTTCTGAAATGGTAAACATTAACTGTATACGGTCCTATTATTATGAAAAAGGAGGTTATGCGACTATCTAGTTATGTCAGAGCAGCCTCACTTTGAGTGTAGCTAAGACAGTAATAATGTAATATAAATGCATACAAATCTAAGCCAAGACAAACTGCTCACAAGATCACTTATGTGACCAGAATAGTAAAGCTGTGATCAATTGTATATGTGTGAATACAAAATATGTACCGTATTTTGTTTCACTATCCTATATATACATTTTGTATAATGCACATTTAGAAGTCAAGGTTACAGCTAAACAATGTAGATGATAAAAGCCCAATCCCAGTTCTCATTTATACCCCTGCCTCTTCTAACTGGGGCTGAGGGATGAGGGCTGAAAATACAGCACTTGGAATGGGACTGCCATAATGTTGCTCTCAGGTTTTTATTTATTTATTTTTTTTGTTTCTTTGTTTTTTTTGTTTTGTTTTGTTTTCATTTACCAGAACTCAAGAAGAGAAACAGGATACAGTTCCAGGCCCACTCGTCTTTGTAAAGTTTTGTCAAAGCTTGTTGTTTTGGCTGGTTTGGTAATAAGGTGTGGGCTGTTATTTTTGAATATATAACTGAGTCTAATTATGTATCTTTTATGATCATAATATAATATAAGCCTAATGTTGTACTTAGGTTAATTAATTTATTAATATTTATTTATCTCATGAGAAAGGCCTGTTGTAATCCAGCAATATGACATTTTGCAAGCTCAATGACACCATGCACTCTGATGATTACTGTACTGATTAGAGTGTCTGCCGGTCCAGTGTTTTTCAACCTTTATTGAGTCAAGGCACACGTTTTTTATTTACAAGTTTGGGATGCCATGTAACTCATCAGCTGATTGGACGATGAGAGCTCAGCAGTCCCACCCACTTTAAGTCTGCTCTGGTTTCGGAATTAAAATGTCCAATCATTTTTATAGACTTTTCGAAAAATTCATTCATATATCAAGAATTCAAAGATATCATGGAGGCTAAGAAGCTTCATGGTAACTATTATCCATAATGCAGTTGTTTTAAAGGTGCATTGTGTAACTTTTCTTCTTGTTTCTGGAGCGAGATTGCCTCTCCACAGATCTGACCTGTAACTTTAGTCTGGTTTGGTCTCCATGAAGATAGAAAGGGTTAATACTACACTGCGAAACACTCGAGACAAAGCAATAACGTCTGCACAGAGAAAAGCATTTGACGGACCCTCCAGCAGAAAAATTACATAATGCACTTTTCAGTCCAAAAAGCACATGTAAAAAAAACCCCACAAGATTCTGCGAAATTTTTTAATAACTTGGTGGTTTATAAAGTTTCAGAAACAGATTTAATCACCACATAGCTGATTATGCTTGAGCAAGCTTTCAAACATTTAATATTATTTTTGTTTCGGCATGTCTAATGAATGAGAAATTTACTTCTGGAACCAGGGGGTGGGCGGTCACTGTTGAGCACCATGTCCTGAAACAAGGAAAGCCAAATCACAGTTAAAGTATTAAATATCCTTTCTCTTTGTGTGTTTGTGTTTGTGTGTGTACAGGTTCGGTAGACACCCAGTCCTCATCATCTCTGTGCTCTTCATGCTGGTGTTTGGACTCACTGTGGCCTTCTCCGTCAATGTGCCCATGTTCGCCACACTGAGGTTCTTTGAGGGCTTCTGTCTGGCCGGGATCAGCCTGTCTCTCTACGTGCTCAGTAAGTCCTGCACACTTCACGCACTCACTCAGGATACAGAGCAGAATACACAAATAGGCGGTCAAAATTCCAACTTAATGTGTTGAAGTGTGAAGAACCTTCAGTTTGGTCCTACATGTCTTCATTAGTGGACTTCAAAGATGAGTTTTGACATTAATGTGTTGCTTTAGGTGTTTGGTATAAAACTGTTACTATTACCATAAAAACTTGACATGAAAATGTCAAGTAAAAGTTAGTTTACTTAAAGGTTTTTGCCTTGTGGAGGTGGCACATCACCTGCATAATTCCATGGAAATAGAAAGTAAAAAAATCTGTGATACATTTTAAGCCATAGAGTGGAATATTACAGTAGAGGAACAACATTGCCATGGAAACAAACAGGAGGAAGCTCTTCTCATGGCCAAATAAGAGGCATATTTGTGGAGATGCAAGTCCATCACAGTAATGATATTTTTGCCACAATTTTCAGTGCAATGACATAACCAAAATAAAGAAAAACATCCTTTTATTTCAGTTTATTTTTGGGCCAAAAAGCTACATACTGTTACTTTAAGCAAAGACTGATTCTTTTCATGTGTTGTCACTCACTTCATCTTTTCATTTTGTCGGAACTAAAATTGTCTTAGTATTATGTTTTTGGTGCTATTCCTAATGTAACAAATAGAGTCTGTTGTGAAAGTTGTATTCTCTTTGCCTGGAAGCATAATCTCATTTTTTTCCTCTCTGGAGAACTATACTTAAGAGATGATGTTCATTTGTGCAGAGTATATGGAATAACCCCATTCGTCATGTGAAAACACACTGCTTTGTCTTTGTATGTATTTGCTTCAGTGTTGCATCTAATTCACCCATAAGCCACACTGCAGTAAATCAGCCTCATCAATATGTACCGCAATAACATTTCCCACTATCAGCATTCACATCCTCCTCTCTCCAATCAAAAAGCTCTTTGGTTTTTAATTGGCATTTCTAGCTGTGGGTTTAGCGCTTGGCCAGAAGAAAGATGTGTGATTGTGCAGCAATGACCTCGTAACATTTATTAAGCCGGGCATTGTAGCGTGGATACATTTTAATTATAGAGCCACTTCTAGCATATTTTTTATCCAGTGGACTGGTTGATTTGGTATTTAGATGTAATTGCTTAATGGATAATCACAATAATTACTCTACTTTAACCAAAAAGTAAAACTGTCTTTTTGCTTTCAGTGTCCTGTTTATTTGTGACATTTTCACAGTTTTAAAGATATAATATAATATTTAGTTTTGAATTGCTTATTGCTATGGCAGAAGTGTGTGTGATCCATGGTTTTAATTCTACACATAATACTTGATATAGTAGGGATTTTGATACTAAGGAATAGACTCAATACTAGGGTGGAGCATTTGCCCAACTTTTTGAAAAAATTTTGAAAATCAATCTGTACCTAGTTTTTTACTCTTGCCAAAGTAAACTTCTGTGAAAAATTTCATGAAATTCTGTTGATGTCTACTGGGTCCACCAAGCCTCTGAAGTTTAGTGCCTGCAGAAACCTTAAATCTGAGCTGAAAAATCTGTTTTTCTTTTAATAACATCCTTATCCTTCCTGTAAACTTGGGTTTACCAAACCCTGAGCCATACCTGTCATTGGGGGACACACACTCGCTTACTCCACTTTTTTTTATACAGTCTATGATCACTACAGAAAGAGTACAAACTTTCTGTCTCTCACACTCACCTTGACAACATTTTCATATCTTAGAAAGTTATGAAGATAGAGAAAATTGGTACCAAATGATGCGCAATAGCAACATTTACATTCAACTTTCAAATGCATTATTTTTAAAGTTATTTGAGAAAAACATATTTTTCTGCAAAAGCCTTATGGACACTGTTAGGGTGGAACTTGAGAGGCTTGGCGGACCCAGTGGATATTACTCAGTTGTGCTAATATTCCACAGATTTTCTATCAATTGGTATTGTTACATTTTAAAATTGGGTACAAGTTGAATTTCTGACACTGGGGCAAAAGGTGCACCCTGCTCAATACTGATTCTGATACTATGATGAAATTACTATTACATTAAATAATAATACTTTCTTTTCTATTACTACGTTGTCCAGGTAGGTTCCATAGTGTTCTAGTCTATGTGCTCTTATAATAGTTCTGATACAGGTTAAGATCATTCTAAAATTTAAGGAAAGGTTATTGATCTTTGAATGTTTCTTTTTTAGTATTGATATTTGCTCAAATGAATATCTAGTTTCAATATTAGTTTTAGTATCGTTAAGCATATGATTTTTTATACTTTTGACAACCCTACTTCTTATAAACGTACATAACTCCTAAAAGCAATTTGGCCCATGTGGACAGAGGTTTAATAGAGGAACAAGGGTACAGTGACAAACGCAGCCCTCCTTCAGTGTCCTTGTCATCTTAATTTAGCCCGGCGTGTATATCCTGAGAGGCCCCATTCAGCTGCTCTTTGGTCAGGAGCACAAAGAGAGACACAAAGTAAATCGGGGACATTTACTCCGCTACTGTTTACTGACGAGAGCTGAATGACCCTGACATCAGCCCACCGAGTTCACAGCCTGTTCCAGCGTTCAATCAGCCATGTTGAGTTTTTCAGTATCTATTGGAGCAGAATGGTTCTTTTATAAAAAATGCAGACATATTGTGCTTGTGTTTGTGATATAGTTAGAATCTCTGGCACCCATGGATCCTTATGTTAATTTAGACATTTGAAATTGTAATATTAATCTAAAACAAGTTAATAAAAGAAACAAGTCCGCTGTCTGCCCAGTGGGATCCGACGTTGCTGTAGACATCATCATAACAAAGAGTCACTCATTAGTTAGCACCGCCTATGGATCGCTGCACATCACATTAGCAAGTGAAGAATGATGATTATTGTTTTTTTTATTTATAATTACTAGCTTGTTTTGTGAAAATAGTAGAACAGTTGAACATTCTGGACTCTTTAAGTTTTCATTTTTTTCCATAGGTGTAGTAAAACTGTAGCCAAGCTGGTGCCACCTAGTCCCCCCACTTAATTTAATTTCTTTCCGGCGACTAGGTCAGGCATTGGAATACACTAGACAGTTTGCAAGAACCCCAGATGTTGTAGGCCACGCATCGGCCAATCAGCAAAGAGCTGTGAAGCCATGACTGGGTCAGTTTTGTGGTACAGCACAACAGTAAACAAAGCAGTCGAGATGGATGTAGATGAAGCCATACATTCTGTGTTGGCAACAATTCCCGAGATTGAGGATTTAAAGCCGGAACAAAGAGAATGTTTGGTGAATTTTGAAGGGGAAAGACGTTGTTGCCCTTCTTCCTACAGGATTTGAGAAAAGCTTAATATACCAGTTAACCCTGTTAGCGGTGCATTACATGCGTCATGACCAAATAGCAGCGATTGGTTAAATAAAAAAAGTACCTGCCTACCTTTGAGCAAACGAATCCTAATGCTGCGAGGTCAGACGGTTTCCACAAAGTGAATCCAGCTAGTAAAACTGTAGCTCTGTAGAAAATCTGTTATAAACTGCCTCAAAACCTTTAGAAATGAGCAAATTGGTTATCATTATTGCATATATCCCTAAAAATTGTGAGCAAAAGTTCGGAGTCACCTTCTCATTCAATGCTTTTTCTACATACAGAAGTAATCGATTATATGAAACAAGATATATGGAATTATGTACTAAAGAAAGATTGTTAAATATTTTTTGACAAAGCAAACAGATGGCTGTTCAGTATTTGGTTACAGTTTATTTAACTGTTACATAATTCCATCCATCTTACTTCATATATTTGATGGATCCTGTATGCATATCAAACATAGAAAGCAGTAAACATATAGAAAAAAACATTGAATGAGGGGGTGATTCCAAACTTTTGACCTATATGATAATACAAATGCAACATATAGTCACTTTTCTCTGATATAGGCTCACTATTTTTAGGTATATATGCAATAACCTGACTTAACTAGTAGTGTAACTAAACAAATAGCTGATCTGATAGTTTTTTTTTTAATGCCAAATCATCGTCTTTTTCAAAACCACTTCTTTTATTTCACATTTCCCCATCTACCAAAATAGTAAAGACATTGGAATGCACAAAGTTAGTACTTCCTCTGACTGCTCAAAACGTACTATCCACATAGAAGAGCTACACCCATTATTGATGTATTTCCTCACAGCCTGTGGCCTTTGTCCCAGTCAGCAGTACAAAGGTTGACTTGACAGATTTTCCATAGGTTTTTGTGTTGCCATGCCCGCTCCTGTCTGATCATGTGTACCAGTTATCACATGATATTTTCCCAGCATGCCTTGTGTATATTGACTAAACGCTACTACAGCCGGGTCCTGAGAAGCACCACTGCTCGATAATACATTACTGCTGCCAATCAGTTGTTTCATTTTCAAGACATTTAGATAAAAGCTCAGAGTTGCCGTTATGTAATAAGGTTATAATTTTTCTTGGCAGAACTGGCTGTGCATAGATGATACACAACGTTAAATATATAACTAAAATAAAAATAAAAAATGAGTTGTCATAATAAGCAGATGACTTGTGTTGTTTGTAAATAACCCATATTACGCTATTTTGTCATCCATCTTATAATGTTGTTTCCTCATCAAAAACATGCGAAGTGTTGTGTTTTGTTTCATTGACATGTTAAACAAATTAATGAATGATACATGGATTATCAAAATAAAACCAAAAATAATAAAATTAAAAAACAACTATTTTCTTCATTATTTGTCTCCAAAACCAAAATGAAAAAAAAAAAAAAAAAAGATAATGATTTTTTTTTTTTTTTGGATTTTGTGTTTAAATGAAAAATGGAAAAAACAGTTAACGCCCATTTCCCATTTTCGTGGCTTAAACTGTGATGCCGTATTGAACTGGGACTGAACTAGGACTAAACCAGGACTAAACCAGGTCTAAACCAGTACTGAGACTGGGACCAGACCAGGACCAGGACCAGGACTGAGACCAGGACTGCGACCGGGC